GGTGTCTAAATTGCTCTTTCAGCTTAATATATATGCATATACAAGAAATAGAGAGTAGCCAGATCTGCCAGTCCCAATTGAATTGATTGATATGCAAAAACCAAGGTTGTGCGTTGTTGTGCTTTCCGAATTCTCTGGATAATATGAATGGCAGATCTGCTGGTGGGTGTTTTTTAGAGCCACCAAAGATATGAGGTACACTGCTGACAATCCATTTGATCTACTTTTGTTGTCGCCGTGTCTGGGAGGATGGAAGAAACCTGTACAAGCTGTTAAGCAACAGGTGTGATGAGGAAGAAGCCAATGGCAACGTGGTTGGTGCCGATTCAGATTTAAAGCAAGCCCATTTTGATTCACAGTCTTCATTTCAGCTTTTCTTTAGTTATGCTTTTGTTTGGGGTAGGAAGGTGCTTTCTGCTTATAATGGTCGGTAGCAGTATAGGTTATATGCTTTGTCATTTGTTTACTTCGGGATTTATGGTTTTCCTGCCTGCTTTGCTTCTGTTGTTTGTAGTTGGTCAGTTTGATGTACCAGTAAGGGGTGTTGGGAACTGTGGATTAGGAGGTAGAGCAGTGTACAACTCGACTTACATGAAGGTACAACTCGACTTGAATGTCTGGTTTCATAATTTTCAAACTCAGTTTTGTTTCTTTCTTGAACTAATACTTATTTTTTTGGATAGAGGTTACAATGAGAATTTGAGGTCGTGTTGCTTTGGCCTAATGGAGTCGTGGAGCACAGTAAAGGTGAAAAAGCTGTACTGTAAATTCGCAGTCTCCCTACCGTACTGAGTTCTTAACAACAGGTAAGTTGCACTCTGATTTCTTTAGTTCACATGATGTTCATGGTCATGTGCATGTACCAAATATTATCTTATTGGTCACAAAACTACATGATATACTGGATTGAGAGTATTTTTATGCTGCTTGATGTATGGTTTATGAGCTCTAATAAGAATAGCTCTTTCTGTACTTATCCTTGCTCTGACTTAGTTTCTACTTGATGCTCTATCTCTATCTTTCGTGCACATAAGAAGTATTTATTTGTTATATTCACTGCTTCAAGCTTGAATTGGATTCCCCTACTGCCTTTGCATTTGTTTATCTGAAAATATATAATCCTTTTGGCTATCCAGGCTATGTTTATATCACTCTTCTCCTCATGAATGAGTCACTTGAACCTAAAAATCCACCAAACTGCAGTATTTAAGATCTGTATAGAAGACCTACAGTAGGGCATATGAACATAGGAATGGGTGGATGTAGCGGACTTCAAATTATAAAATGGAATCGACAGTCCCTCATGGTATTGATCAATGTTTTTATGTTTCGTTCCCGTTATCTTTAGTTTATTTAGCCTCCTCGAGATTACTACCTGATGGTTGGGTCTCTTTAGGAAGTTAAGATGCTTGATTGACGCCATAGAGCCTCCATTATCAATTGATGGAGCCCGCCAGTTTACGTTTCTCTATATTCAGTTGTATGAGATATTTTTTTGCTGCAACTAATAGCAACAATGTGATTACTCAAGAGTCAAATCCTTATTTCAGTTTCAACTTACGCTTTCAAAGATTTAATTTGGTTTCTGCATCATTACTTGGGGACTGGTTCTCTCTCCTTCTCCCTTTCCTTTGGCTTTGCCATCTTTTTATAGTTGTTTTTACCATCATCTCTGTTTGTTTATTTTAGTTTTAGGTGTTAACTTGGATTTGTTATAAACATACACTTTTTTTTTGAAGTGCTATTGTTGGATATGATCTGTCAAATTGACACCAGACAAATTTAGCTAAAACTACTGGCCTCTCTCTTTTTACATGGCTTTTAAGAGCTGAGTTACCTAGCACCTAATAAGAGTTTTCCTATACTTGGTGAGCATCACTTACCGTTCAATACATAATTAAGCACATGTCTCTATTTCCATATAGGATCCCTTTTTTGTTTATTATTTTTTGCCTTGCATGAGTTCTCTTTTCATTCAAAACCTGATTATGTTATCTAGCTGGGTTATATGTCTTTATATATGCGGCTAATTATGTCTAGGTTGTTGTTTCACTTAGAAGTCACGATAAACAAAATTTGTAAGAGAGGGAAATGATATCGTCGTGCTAGGATTTTAGTGGGTTTTTCACCGATGAATATCTACATGTCACTGTGTAAGTATTGTGATAAATATTTTCTTGAAAGAAGTCAAGTCCCTACACAAAGAACTTCCTCTTCTTTTGTGCCCCTCATAAAGAACAGACTTGACCTTCTGGTGATGATCAGAGGAAAACATAGAAGCATATTTAGGGACTGGGGTTATGATTGAAATTGAGATTAAACATCATGGTATGCTTTGAGCTGGATGAGTGAAGAAGAATTAAGAAATTGGGTCTCATTAAGCGGCAAAACCCATCGGTTAGGAGAGGGGCAGTGTATAGTAATGGGGGGTTCAGCTGAAGTTCTTATCAACCTGTAATCAGTTCTCAATTTGACAAGCCTTTTAGGATGCCGGTTTTTTATCTGCAGTCAGTAATCAAATGGGACAGTCGTCTGCCATTTCAATAACATGTTCTTTTAGATTAACTCTGTTGAATTGTTATTTGTTTTCTTTTTTACCTCTGCAATTGGATGTTGATTTGTTGCTCCAGATTGAACGATCTAAAAACCTGCATTCGTTTGCCTGGTGGAACTATAATGGAAATTTAGTGTGGCAATGAAGGGTACCGTTTGGGGTTTTGTTTATGATAAGTGCCGACTGATTTTCTCAAGCAGATGAGGAATTTTTTCGGTTTCGTAATTGATATTGGTGCTTGGATATTCTTGCTTTGTCTACTTTTTTTTGCTCAGTTGCTATTGAATCTTTATTTTCCTTTCTCTGAACTCTCAACCATTACTGTGTTTTAGTTTCTTGCTTTGGCAAATCTATGTAGCTTCGTTACAACTTTACTTTCAATTTCTACATATGTTGCCGCTCTATGCTCTGCCTTACTGCTAATTTTAAGGAGTACTAAAGCGGGAAAGCACTTGCAGCCACTACGATTTTTTCTCTGTTTCCAGGAGAGTTTCCATTTTAGATTTTAGTTCCATTCATTCTCATTGGTACTTTGTGGTTATGTTATCAAGTTAGTGTTGGTTTGCTTCTCACTAATTCTGAAGTTTGTATATAATTGCCTTTAATGGTTGTAGAGTGTTGATGCCATAAGCGAGGTGCCAAGAATGTGAACTACTTTACTAGTTGCCATCAAATCACATTCTTCTTACAATTGACTGCATAAATTTTTTGCATTTGTTGCAGTTATCAGGGATGAGCTCTTTGATAACAAGGGAAATTATAACTTCAGTTTTCCCATTGTACCTTTGAGCCTTTGTGAGTGTTGGCTTTTGGATCGAAATGTTTCATTGGTTCAAACTTGGTGCCTCTTTTGTTAGTTGGTTCGTACATTCATGATCAAGTAGTTAAAAGTTGCACTTACATGGACCGGCCGCTGCAAATGGTTGGAAACTGACTGGTGTTGTATTTTTATACATTGCTTAAGCGGCGAGAGTTATATTAGATCTCCATTTTTGTTGCCTCCGGGTTTGGTATACATGTACACAGTTAACAGAAGTAGGACTTGATGTTATTACTTTTCTTTTAGAGAAGGCGAACGAGGGAGGACTAGGAATTGTTGCATTTGATTAACATTGAATTGCAAATGGTTAGCAATTTAATGATTTAATTTATTCATATTGATCTTACCCCTTGTGAGTGCTTGCATAACATGATATTGCTTTTCAACCCTTCTGCCTCTTTAATTATCACTCCTTTTGTACTGCTATTTTAAGGGGAAAATGTAAACATCTCCACCATTTTCAAAAGGCGGTTACGTAACTTTCACTTGCCCCACCATCACCAGTTGCCACTCTTCTAAACCACATCCAATGCAAGACATCACAATATCTAAACTGTACTTTCCCAATTAATCAATTTGACAACAACCCATATGTGTTGCTCCTTTATATGGTAACACTCGCTTTGCAATATTTAATAGGTTGATGTGGCTAATGTTTATTTCCAGTGCAACGTTTGTAGATGTACAAGAGTAGGGTTGGCTATTTGGTCCGGGTTTTTTGGTTTTACCCGAAACTGGACCGTATAACCCGGACCGGGACCGGATAGTAAACAATCAAATCCAAGTTTTGGGCTTAGATTTGAGGTAAAAAACCGTTCGGGACCGGATCGAAAACTGGATAAAGACCGGATAAGAGAGCTCAGGACCCAATATTTAAGGGTCATTTGCATAAACGGTCACAAACCTTTGCACTTAGTACAAAACTTAACCAACTCCTCACACTTTCAGGTCTTATGCCACTCAAATCCCCACAAGCTCAATATAAAATCAAGCCCAATTGGGACCGGACCGGGTCAAAACCGGACTGTATCCAATCCAATCTTTGGTCCTTATATTTTCGAAAAGATCGGACTGGGACCGGATAAATTTGGGACAATTTAACCGGACCGGACCGTATAGCCACCCCTAATCTCACGGGTCGTTTGGAGAATATGAGTTTAAATTTATAGATTGTCAACAATCTAAAGATTCTAACTCTTCGGATTGTTAAAAATAGATTTTAAAATGTTTATTGTTTGGTAACTGTGATTGTTAACATTCAAAGAAAATAAAAAATTCAATTTTATATCAAATAACATGTTTATCTTTAATAAGAAATTAGATTGATTCGAGAAATATTAAAAATTTGTTCATAAATATATTTAATTTGATAAATAAATAAAAGAAAGAGAAAAAAGTAAGAGAGAAAAAATCACGAATCAAGATATAAAATCTCTTTGATTATGAGAGATTTGATATCCATAGATTTTAGAGATTTGAAATCCCTAAAGCTAAAATCTACATTACAAAAAGCAACAAAAAAACATGACTCTACAAAATCTACGACTTCAACAAATCCACGCCCTGAATCCTGTTCTTCAAACGACCCCTCAGTTTTTCTTAAATCGCATATTCTCTACTAAACCTACTCATGTGAAAAAAATGTGCCAATTTCCACTAAAAACTCAACATTTTCCCAATATGATCTCCTCGCCGCGGAGCGCGGGCTTCCTTACTAGTAAAATTAAAAAGTGATGATCTTCCCCATTATTTCCGATTGAGGAGAGATTTAAAATCAATGATGAAATCTGAAAATGCAGATATTTCAAGAAAAATTGCCCAATTGGGTACTTGTGTCAAACCAACAAATGTTGACATTCCATTAGGCCAAAGATTTAAGGCCAACGTCTACTCAATTCTCATCCCACGTAACAAGCAGCATTATAGTGGACCGCATCGCATGTTCCTGTAAACTTTTAAACCACAATTTTCCACATAAATTTGAGTACCTAACAAGTGCTTTTACTCATACATTCACACCTAATAGCAAACCAGTACACTAACGAATGAATGAACATGTAAATGTTAAAAAAGACAGACTTTTACTTGGGTGGCGCTGAAGTGACTCAGAAGAAAGGAATGCACACACTTGAAACCTTGAATCCAAACTATCTATTTTATTATTTCCACTAACACTCTTGAAGAGAAAGAGCAAAGTAAGTAAGAACAGTGATTTTGCCTTGTGTTTTTGTTTGTTCCATCACATATCCACATACCATTACAAATTGACCAAAGGGTCAATCGGATGTAGTAATAATAGTTCAGCAAAGAAAATGAAAGAGAACAAGAGGAAGAGTGTATAGTTCTCTTCCCCACGGCAACTTCAGTTGCTGATCATGTCAATTTGTTACTTCCCCCCCAACTTCAGTTGCAGGTTTCATCCTCAAATGAATCTCAGTCAAACCATCAAATCAACTCACCCCTTTCTTCTACGTGAGTAGCAGGAAGTTAGCAGGTTGAGTTCTTGTAGCAAATCCAAACTTCGAAGTACTGTACTTTCTGTGGACACCAGTTAGCCTCCCTGTCCCAGAATTCTGATGAAATCCCACAATCAGCCTTGAGCATTCCCTGTAAAACCCAGAGAGGGTAAAGAACCATCATCCAACAATTCATGATGTTCAAGAATGATAGAAAGAATAAATCTTTCCTTTTTCTTTTTGAAGGGGACTTACAGAAGTTGCTCTTCTGAGTAGCTGGTGTACCACTCATGAGTTTTGTTCCACTGGCTAGAGCCATTGAGGCAGCACTGTGCCGTGTAGATTGCAGCAGCAGACATCAGTGAAGGTGGGTATTTAAGCATTTCATACTCCACTAAGCACAGCTCGATCAGGAAGAATGATAGAAGCTCAAGCTGTCACATTAGGAAATGCCATAAGTAATCAGTCAGATTTCACTAAATCTGGCCTCAAAGTTTGAATCTGGGTTTTCAAGTTCACAAACCTTTTTGTCAGATTGAGCAGCTTTGAGAAATCTCTTCATGAAAACATATGGAGTTGGGACTGACATATTGAACTGCAAGGCGTTCACAATTAACTTCTCCTGCAGGAGACAGATTAAGGCACAAAACTCTCATTAGATTGATGATCAAGTTTCAATCTTAAACTGAATTGCTTGTATTCTAAATTTACCATGTCAAGGACTTCTTTTCTACTGTAAGCCTTGTCAGAAATTAGGATGAGATCATCCACAACAGGCACCGAGACTTCTTCATATTTGCAAGCAAGAAGCATGGCTGTAACTCCAACCAGCTGGAGTTTCTTCCTCACAACAGAATGAACAGCCAAGAATCTATCAATGAGATTCACAGTAAGATAAAGAGTCTCCTCCATTAACTCAAACTTGTAGTGCACCTGTAGTCATCAGACAGTCAAATCTAGTCAGTTTGATCCATCCATTCAAAGTGAAGGTAAGAATATGTCATCTTCCAATATGCGTAACCAAATTACCTCAATCAACCAGTCGATGAGAATGCCTCTCATCCTTTCATTGATATCAAATTGGTTTGCCATATAGCGCGGTGAGACAGCACTTGTAACCTCAGATTTCCTGTAGAATGTGTACAAATCGTTGATGTATTCAGTCACAGCAAGTGGGTTGTTCTTGTCACAAGCATCTATATCTACAACTGAGTCTTGGCCTTCTTCTTCTTCAGAAGCTACATCCTCCATTTCCACTTCCTGCCAGAAATCAACCAAATCGACATTAAGAGATGATGAATAAAAACCTTTGCTCAAACGAAACAATTGATGAAAGACCTCTCAAACTGTTTACCATTCTGTCAATCTCTTCCAGCATTGCTTCAGTGTGTTGTACAAACATTGGTTCAGAGAATGCGAAGTCTTCTTCTTCTGCATCAATGATCGAGATGTCTTGTGATTCATCTTTCAGTTCCTGTTCACACAACATTTGTTTTGGATTTACAAACACTTCAGTGAAATCATTCATCATACAGAAAATTTGACATAACTAATTCTTTACCACTTGTGGCTTAGAATCTTGCTTGGTGGCTAGTTGTGCAGCAAATCTCCTGAAAAAGAACGGGGCAAAAGAACCACAGTAAACACTATTATTATACAATCAAAAGAACCCTTGAAAGCAGAAGAACTCCAAATTTGAACCAGGCAAACAACTAGAGATATTTGGTTGCTGTACTGACCTAGTGATAGGACGATGGACAGGTTGATTCTTGTTATCACATTGCTTACTATAGGGAAAAAGAAACCCAAATCAGGCAACTAAGTAAAGATTCCAAACCGATTTACGGTGATTAGAAGTATCACTCTTTAACTTAGAGAACTAATTGAACATACATAGGTGGGTAAGTCGGAGCTCCAATTATATTCCGATTGAGGGCACTCAACGCCCGACGATTCCCTCCTGCGGCGGCCACCGCCGGCAATTTCCCGACTCCGGCGCGAAGACCCACTAGAAATAAAGAAGTCAAATAAATCCATAGTCAAAACCCCCAATCGGAAAATTTCGTATTGGAGTCAAAACAGGTTTGGATTCCGTCGGTTTATACCTTGCATAGTAGGGGCAGGTCCAATCACACCCGGGTTATTGTTCGCGTCTGATCCGGCCATTATCGATTCTCTATTTCAAAAGAAAAGGAAGAACAGAAACAAATCAGAAAACCCCCCACTATTTCAGTAGAAACCATCGATTCAAAAAAAAAAAAAAAAAAGATTCAAAGAGCACCCACAAAGAATCAAGACCATACAAACAAAACCCACCTCTCAAATTCAACAGAATCCTTCTTAGATTTCCGATCAAAGAACTGCACTTCTGAAAGTTCCACCCTTTAAGATCCCTCCAATTCGGTTAATGGAATCGAAGAAATTCAGGAAGAGGAGAGAAGAGAGGGCTTTCTCTCACAACTCCGTCACATCAAATACGCCCCTTCTCTCTCTATCTCTCACTGTGGGTTCTCGATCTGTGTTTTTCTGGGTAGCAGAAGAAATGAATACGAAGGGTAGAGAGAATCGAAAGGGACGAGAAAACTCATAAAGAAAGAAGGATTTTAACAGGAGTCAGACAGCGGATATATTGTCCAGAAAGAGAGCCTTCGCAAATTTTTTTTTTTATTTTCAAAAGCAACGGCTAGTTCCTCGTGGCCGTCCGATCTCTTTCTCTCTGGAGATTGAATTGAAAGTCGGGTACTACTCGCGTCTTCTGCTGGTGTGCGGCTCAACGGCTACCTGACATGTGCTAGCTCCTTGCCTTTTTTTCTTTTAGCCCTTTTGGTTTTGAGAGGATTAATAAGGAAATACAACAAAATTTAGCCTAAAATTATACCTCCATGCCAAGGCTCCATTCTTTGGATTCAATTTTTTTTTCTTCCTTATATGCATTGGGTTTAATACTAAGTATGGAGGATAAATTTCGCGCGGATGCGCGCGTAATTGATATGTGTTATCGTGTGTTTAGTTAATATTTACTCAATACACTTCTTATTCGATATGACTTTGAGGGTGGGAATGACAAACATTTAAAGAAATATTAATTTGATGAGATAGGGACCTTCTCGGTAGTGATAGCCTCATTTATCGTACTTGTATCAATTGTATTAGCAAGACTTTGTCGTTTCAAATGTTTTCGTTCTTTTCTATATCCAAATAAGTTTGTGCCTCTCTTTATTCTTTTCCTATGATACACTTGATCGTCCCACGTTCTATCATCATTCTTCTGCCTCTTCACTCTCTCAACACCTCCTTGCCTAGAATTTCTTAACAATGGGTAATGGGTCGTGGATTTGAAATGAGACCGAGAATGCTACCTAGAGATAACCACCTAACATTCTCACCTTGTCAACACTAATTATGAATGACAATATCACCGTGATATGCTCGAGCTGACCTAACTCGACTGGTCCTTTGTTGAGCCTGCTTAACTCAATCTTGTTTTATCTCGACCGGCTCTATCTCGAATTCTCACTAAAAATTCGCATACGATAATATAGTTAGAAACTTAGAATTAAGTAAAACCGTCACTTCAAATAATTTTCCGTTTTCAAATCATGTCATTTTCTCTTTTATTTATTTATTTATTCGAAAGGTATTATTGTTTTTTTTTTGTCAAATCCAAGTTTTGTGCGTACATTTTCTTCAAATTACATATTATAAAAGGCTCAACGATGCCTTACCAAAATACATAGTGTGTACATCCAGACAAGGCAGATATGAGATCGGTGGTTCATATCCCTTGCCACTCGATTATCATTCATAATGAGCGCAATAAGATTATAAGTACAGTTCGATCTTAATTACTTTTTTATTTAAAATTCTTAAATTTCGATGATCAAGTAACTAAACATAGCTAACATATATCATTGGTTTATATTTATCCAATCTCAATTGAATTACATTAGCTATTATGACTATAAAAGCAGCTTATCACAATATCTTACTATAGTATCGCCCATCGAATTCCTCGTTTAACTTTGAAATTAGTTATGGAATTCATACTCAAACAAATTAGTTTAGGAAATCACAATTATATTGGAAGCCTGTACCTAGAGAAATGAATATTCCTAATAAGCTGGTGATTATGGATTAGCTATATTAGTCATTGCACATGAATATCCTTTAAACTATTTCCTACATACTTTAGTTTCCTTTTATTAATTAAGCTCCTATCCCTTTTTAAGCACTAACTAGTAACTAGAGACTGGCTGGCCTCTAGGATTAGTGTTTTGGATTCAATTGTTAGTGGATATAGCACAACTATTTCTTTATTCGTTGCTAATGGAAAGAATATGGGGAGCGTGTTGCCGTGCCGTTAGAGCTTGGTTTGGTTGAATCTTGTTGTTGCCCGTAATGGTTTCAAAAAATAGTCCAAGCAATAGTTTGCTGCCACGTGGGGAAAATGGGTTGTCGTCTGAGGTGTGAACTGCACTATTTGATCGACTAGTCAGTACGAATTTGAGAGATATAATTCATTTTCGAAAGAGAAATTGATATTGTGGAATTGCAACTTAACAACTTGTATGAGTATAAATACACTGCATTAATACCTCTATTCTGGATATGATAGGAGAAAAGAGAAGTGATTGCCGTTAATTAAACAACTTGGTCGCTTTCTTGATTGAGCAAATGTAGGATAACAAAAATAAATAATGGGATTAGAAGTTAAAGTCCAAATAATGCGTAAAACATTAAGGCAATGCACCGGTAAGATGCGTTTGGACATGGATCTTGCGATCATACCAAACAATTAGGTTAACTCTCTTCATTCTTTACAAGTTGATGTATGTGATTATTATAGCCCGATGGAAGTCAAAACTCGAACAATGTCTATAGTAGCACTTTACAAATCAATTCAACAACATGTGTTCGCACAAGGATCGTCTCATCATCATCATACCAGACATTGAAACAATCAACTCATCCGGACCAATTTTTTTAACAAAATTAAGTTTTCAATAAGGGTCTTTACTTCCATCATTGTTCATTTATGTTGGGCATATGACTCGGATCGTCCCCGCGCCAAGGAACGTATCGGACCGCGCGACACAACCGCCGGCGCGAAGACCTTGCGCGCGGTAAGGGTAAAACTACGCGCGCGAGTGTGAAGATCGTCCCCGCGCCAGAGGAACATATCAGACCGCGCGACACAACATGCGGCGTGAAGACCTTGCGCGCGTCAAGGGTGAAGCTACGCGCGCAAACGTGAAGACCAGGCGTCATAACCGCAGAGGGCGTCATCGCGTTTCCCGAGGGAAGGTCACGTAAAGACTTTAGGTACAATCATAGACAACCCTCTGACAAGTCCTAGGTTAAGGGATGGCCTAAATCCCTGACACATCAGTAGTCACGTCGTTGTACCGTCTCGTAGTCCACCCTCTCACCCACCAACATGTAGCCTATAAATATGGCATTTACTCCGGTGGGTGAGGGGATCGCATTTTGGGACCATTCTCTCTCCAGAATAACAACTTATCTCTCTAAAATCCCCACTCTCGTTCTCATATTATTCACCAAGTCTCCAACCTTCCGATTAAACCCATTGCTGGCACTTCTTCTTGACCCAAATTCTACTCGAATCTCACTCCTACACTCAGTTAGGTTCAAACAATTGGCGCCCACCTTGGGGCCAAGAAGAAGTCGCAAAAGAGAACACATCAATGGCAGAGCGCAACCACGATCAACCCGACGAAGCAACGCCCATCAAAGCGATGACCGACCCAAGGGAGTTCGCACAAGCCAGCAACCTCAATGCGGTGCTTATTGAAGAAGAGGAGCCCGAACTGACAGCCAAAGAAATGAGGGAGCTGGTGACAAAGCAAAACAACGTCATAGCTGACATGCAGAAGCAAATGAGCCAAGTCATCGCGCTCATGATGAGCAAGGAGGCCGCGCCAACAGCAGAGGGAACGGCGGTCGCGCCCCAACAAGCCGTCGGAGAAGCGTCCGGAACCGCCCAACCACCCCAACATGCGCCAGCGGAATTCCCCGTGGGAGAAACGCAGGGAATTGAACCACCAGGGCGGGCGGACCTCAGCTTCTTGGAGCAACACCTGTCTCCGCAATACCGGCCTAACCCGCCCAAGAGGGTTCTCCACCAGCCGCTGAGCGCACAAATTATGGCGGAGCACCTAAGCGGGGCGCCTCCCACCCTACCCACATACAACGGCACGACCGACCCGGAGGATCACGTAAGCACCTTCTGCTTGCGCATGCAACTCCAAACCAACTCAAATGCGGCGCTGTGCAGAACCTTCCCGTCAACTTTTTCGGGAATATGCCTCGACTGGTACAACAGACTCCCAAACGGAATCATCCGCTCATTCGAGGAGTTCATACTCCTGTTCACAACAAAGTTCGCATCCCAGAAGAGGCGCCCTCTGCATCTCAAGGCGCTGATAGATATCAGGCAGAAGGAGGGTGAGAGCCTGAGGGCTTTCTACGCTCGATGGTCCAGGGTGGCAATGGCTGTCCGCGACCTTACCCCCGAAACCGCCGCCCATCACCTCATGGAGGCCACTTGCAACATGGAGCTCAAACGGGCGCTAGCAAAAAGGCCTGTGACTCTATCCACAGAATTGGAAATGAAAATCGAGAAGGCAATAACGTTAGAAGAGACTCTCGGGGCGGGATCGGTTAGGCGCTTCGAACCGGCGAAGTTGCAACGCGAAGAACAGGGGAGGCGGCAACCTCCGGCCCTGATTCCCCGGGAACAATTGGCACAGCTACACAGTGGCCCGAAAATACACCCCCCTCCCCCGCAAGAACACGTTCCGCGTCGACGATCGCCAGATAGACGAGCGCCCAACACCTACACGCCGCTCAACGACTCCGTGAGAAATGTATTCCACGTTCTCCGTGAGAAGGGCTACAAGCTCAATTGGCCTGCTCCGTTGAAGTCCCGCCCTCACATGCGCGATCCAAACAAGCACTGTGACTTCCACAGAGCGACAGGGCACTGGACGGAGGAATGCCGGGAGCTACGGTACGAGATCGAAGGCCTCGTAAGGCGAGGGTTGTTGACCGAGTTCACCCATGTCAAAGAAGAACAAGTGGAGGGGCCCCAGAACCCGCCACCTCCTCCGCAGACCGACTACAACGACGTCGGCGGCGCGTATGTGGTGCGCAAAGAAATAAGGGTGGTGACGGTCGAAGGAGATCGCCCCAAGAAGAAAACCAAGCGAGAGCGCGCAACTGAATGCGCGGCTGTGGACACGCGCGCGAAGCTCAAACTGAGCTTCGACGACGCGGAGTTCCCACGAGGGGTCCCTTCAGAAGATCCACTCATCATCACCTCACTAGTTGCCGGCTGCAAGATCCATCGTTTGCTGATAGACGGGGGTAGCGCGGCTGACATCCTCTTCCAAAGCACCGTCGACAAAATGGACATCGACCCGCGCCTGATCAGGCGCGCTCAGGGTAATCTGGTCGGATTCTCCGGAACGAGAGTTCCAGTAATTGGAGTGGTCACCCTCCCAGTGGTAATCGGAGATCAAGAGCCGCGCGTCTCTAAGCAAGTGGAATTCACAATTGTCGATTGCAAATCGGCACACAATGGCATCCTTGGCCGACCATTCCTGGCAAAGTTCATGGCCCTCCCATCAACGTGCCACCAAAAACTCA